AACAGGGTTTTAGTGTAACGGACAATAGACTGCACTTATTAGATGAGGGATAATGATATTAATCTGGTTAAAGTACATACAATATTGCTCGAATCAGGAACTCTCTGACGACAACCATTAACATCTTTGTTCTCCTAATAATTACCAAATATATATTATTGATTGCAATTTGATAATTCTAAAATTTATAACAAAAACAAAAGGTCTCTTTATTATAACGTAGTAGATATTGAATGAAAATGGATCAGAATTTCTGATAAGTGCTGGATGCGAAAAAGAGGCCTTCCTACGCTCAGTATAGTGATCTACCAACTGAGTTACCAAACTTAACCAATATTTTTGGCAGTAAAGTGACACTGACTTTCATCATATTTCCTGAGTGTTCTGAACTAACAAAGTGGTAAAATATACTCTGGTTAGAAACATGTGAGGGACTTTGACATCGAGGTCTTTTTGTGGCGGCTTGCCTACATCTTCGGCTACCCAAAAAATTCCTTGCATTATTTAATTTATGATGGCTAAGAGTGCAGTTCAGAATTCGTCAGTTTGATCTACCTATTCCCCAGTGAGTGATGGTATTGCCACCAAATTGATCATCGAAACATCTGCAATAGCAGCCAATATGTCAACAGAACGTACTTTACGGAACATCATCTCTTGGAACAGTTCTGCATGTATTTTGAAGTTCAATTAATTTGATTTTGATAGCATTATTAGAAGACGGAGATTATCTGAAAAACCAGGGTGGGAGAGCATATCCCAAAGTGGTTAGAAAAACAGATGAATTGTGACAAGCCAATAGATGCAGGTGTCAGACTACCAACTTCGTCTATAGCTAAACATTCATTGGGAAATACAAAAACCTTTATTATAATGAGCTAAACATTTAATCGAGATGAACCATAAGGTTGATGCTAACTCAGCCTTTAAGGTCATCCATAAAAACGGTCAAGGACGTTTACTGAAATACGCTGAGGCTATAGCCATTCATAAACTTCAGCCCCCCTTGTGTATTCAAAAACAGTTTGTTATTACTCTTAACCTACCTTGGTAATCCTTATTTGATTGGATTACCAAACGTTTGTGTTAATTATTCTTAATTCTTTTTTTATCACTTTCTTTAATTTAACTTTTCCATATATATTGACTTGACAAGTAAATGTGTGATCAGATTGTTCGAAATGTATAGCGCTAATACATCACATTTTTCAGATAATATCCGTCTTCTAATAATGCTATCAAAATTTATAAAAGGGACTAACTGTTTTAATTTGATTTTACAAATTCAAATCAGAAAGTTTTATTGACTCTTATGTGTATGAACTTTGAAATTAGTCTCTATTTCGGGCTCACTCAGTGGAACTTTTAATGCACATTTCGTCCCATTTAGCACTCATCAGTAGAATATCACTACAGCCAGAAGTTGGAATGTATGTGCAATTGGACTGGGTCCAAGTGGTTGGATAGTCTATGAGCTCGTCGCGTCACCTGAAGGTCGCGGATTCGAACACTGGTAGCTAAATACTGCCAAAGATTCCAGAACTAGAACGAAGCAGCTGAGCAGTACTCCCTAGTTTTCCAATGGCTTTTTAACTGACGTCAGCTCGTTATCCAACCTGTAACCAATCAAATCCTTGCAACACTTGAATAATGTAAAGTTGGACTTGTACTCAGATTCCCTTGATTAGTAGTCAGGTGGTTTGGTCAGTGTGCCAACGGCTACTACCTAGTGACCAAGCAGTGTACCCATCAAAGTCCTACAGGAGGTCAATAGTGAATCCAAATAGATCAGCGGTAACATCTCTGACTTCAGGGTTGGATGATGCGGGTTCAAATCCTAAAGGATAACATGAGTTCCTTCAGAGTTGCCGATGTGTCTCGCTAAGTGTTGACTTCCAACAAGCAAGAAACACCTAGGTTGGAAGCTTTCTGACGCCTACTTCCAACAGCCTAATAATGAGTCATAGCTCTATGAAGAAATTACTCCTAGGAATCCAAGTTATTTTTGAAAAATAATAAACAGAACACTACATGTTTTTCTTTCACTTATTTTATATCAACTTTTTTTTAAAATTAATTTTTCTAGGCATATAATGAATTATGGTCAACATGTCAAAGTAAACTTGTCGATGAAATGAATTCACCAATTAACTTGGGCATAACACCAGTGAAAGTGAATATTCAGTTGATTTCACCATTTAATCCATCAACAGCATTGGGTAAAAAGTTAACCGATCCTGCACTACATCTTCATGATCGTGATCATAATCATAAAGATGACTCTGATAATCAGAAGAATAGTGAGAGAAATCAGAATACTCTTGGTAAACCAAAATGTATAGCACCAAAATATGGTCAAGGACCAACTGGTCTAGCCTCCATAGCACCATTTTGATTGATTTTTCTGCTTTTTGTTTTTGAGTGATAGTGGCTGTCATCTGTTTCCCTGCCTTTAATTTCATTTTGTTTCTTCACATCATGTATATTATTAGTCCCCATTTGGAATTCCGCAGTTTATTCCAGATTAGATCACCGAAACAAGAGGGAAGAGACTCTGCTTATTTCTATTATATTTACAGATTTACCTATGCACAGTAAAGAAATTGCACCTTAACTAAATACCTTGCCAATAAGCTTTATTCAAATAAAAAAACAACTGAACTATGTGTATGCATAGAAATTAAATGATATTATTGATATTACTAATGAGTAGTAACTATTATATTTGACAATAATTCTCCTCTTTTTGATGACCAGCAGTTCATACAACATCTTATTTTGAACATCTCTCAACTATAACTGATTCATAAAGAAAAGAGTGAATATGTATTAGTGAGATAAAACTGTGTGTGTGTAGGTTATTTATTCAGTGTCAGTTCTTTGCACGAATGGAAGATGAACACTAGCTAACTGGTTTCACGACTGCCCACAACATTCATTTCATCTGCACATGATCTCCTCCACGTCACACTCGGACACCCGACCGATGATTTCTCATTCAGTTTCCACTCGACACTTTCCGTGTAATGTCATTTGAAGGTTTCATTAACGCATGTCCAATCCATCCATGTTTCCATCTGCATATCTGCTCACCAATAGGTTATTGGATGGTCCTCTGCCACACCAGGCTTATCCTTTCTAACCGGCCATCTGATATTCAGTATGCAGTTGTTAATAAAAGTAAAAAGCGTGTTGGAAGTGCACCAGGTCTCTGAACCATATAGAAAAAATGACATAACATTGTGTCTGGAAGATCCGGATCTTGTTCCTTTTCACGCTAATTCCACGGGAATGGACGCCAGTCTTACTTTTCCAACCCCCTCTTTGTCATAATCTTTTCCACCAGTGTCTAGATAGGCTAGAAAGATGACTGGCTTTAGATTTGTCCCATTGCTGCTGGTTGATGCTTGTCCATGATCTCCATCCCAAATACCTTTTCACCTGAAGTCATGTCTTCGCTATGTCTTCTTCCAACTTATTGGTTTTCGCTTGTAAATCTTTAAGTTTTTGCGACCATTTTTGAAATCCATATCTTCTGGCGGTATTTCGTCTTCTCAGCCCTAAAGATCTCCAGTACAATTCAGTCCATCACATTTTGGAATATCTCCTGTGACAGTAGGCGACCTTGACCTAACCCCATCTTCATTTCAAAGACCTCAGTGAGCTTTCCGTCGTAATTTACTCAACATTTAACATCATCAAATAGGTGCTGAGGTTTATAAATGATTGCATACTGAAATCTGTAGTGTTGAAGTCGTTGTCAAATTCCTTCGAGATAGACACTATCAAGGTACAGAGTTGGCTGTCATTATAGGCTGTGTTCGACAATGATGTATGGTATAAAGATTTGGTCAATACACGATTTGTTTCTCCTATATTCAGCTTGTATCAGACGGAGTCTCTCACCCAAATACTCCTTCAGTTTTTTCAGGATGAAAGCCTTTGATCTTATGCTTGGAGTTATCTAATTCTAGCTTAGAGTGTATGCTATGTGATTTCAAGGGCTAAGAACATGTCACTAATCGATGAAGGCCTTTCCTTTCAGTTTGTTTTCCCCACCCATATCTGTGTTCTATATAATCTGCGTCATCTCGGACTGCTGCTTTTCTGTGAAAAGTTCTACATTGCGAACTCAGACTTAACCAATCCATATGTAAAAACAATATTGAATTGGGGATATTTTAAATTGTGATAGCTAGTAGTATTTTTGAACACACAGGGGGCAGGAGCTTAAGTTTATTAATGGCTATAGCCTCTGCGTATTTTTCCTAAATTCTGCACACATGTACTACCTTCGATTCACACCAATTCACTGATAGCTGCGATTAGTGTACAGTCATTCAATCTAATGTAGTTCCGAGGGAAATTTTACAAACATCACAAATAATTGGTCAATAAAAGTAGCAAATTAGACAGCGAGAAAATCTTTCTGCAGTTTTAGGTAGTATATGACAGTCAGAAGTATTGCAGTTAAGCTCAGAACGTTAGGTAAGGGGGTAAAGTCATCAGCCAGATGATGAAGTTGTAAAGCTGAATCAACTGAGATGACTAAAACATATGTATAGCATGCCAAGTCATTGTGTTTCCTCGTCGAAGAACCCTAGTTGATTTGTTTGGAAAAGAGTCAAGGGGAGTCAAATCATGAAATGTGGCCACTTAAAATGCTGCACTTCTGTGTTCGAGAATACCTGGTTTTATACATGCAGTGAGGGTTCAGCTTAACTTCTGCCGTTTAAGTCAATAGTTCATAACGTATTATGTATATGTATCTTTAATTCCATTCAGCGCATAAATCAAAAATAGATAGCATAAGGATTTTTGAATACTTTTTACAGTGTTTATTTATTCAGTAAAAATGTATATAACCGCACAAATAAATTCAATTTAATTTAAATGTTTTCGGAGAAAAAAAACAGGTACTGCTTTCTTATTTTCAATTAAGCATAAATACATATAAATATATACAAATCAGTCGTTGCAGATTGCACTAACATCTTCAATTATGGTGCATCCAAATCGACATATGAACGTCTTGGATAAGGGCGTCTGTAAAATTTCTCAAAGAAAAATCAATTATGAATGGTATAATCCTTGAAAAAACTTATATATATGTACAATTTGATGGGTACTAAAATTTTAAAAATTTCTGAAGTTAAACTTAATGAAATGTGTTACATCAGGAATTGACATCAATTAGAGAATTACTGAAAACCAGGGAGTACTGGACAGTTGTTTCACGGCTAGTTTTGAGATTCTTCAGTAGTACTGCCCCACGCACCAGAACCTTAGTGTTAAGATGCGAGGCTATTGACCATTCAGTCAATGCAATGGAATCCGATGGCCTATTCGCGATACATACTGTAACAGCCAGCTAATGTCATCAATAAGTACCGCTTCTCACACTGAACTTGGTGGTCTCCATGACTTAAACTGAAGAGTCCCGCACAAGGACAAAACAGAGGTCCAATTCTCTTTGGTTTTTAGTGATACTTTTTTAAACTGATTTCGGCTCGTAATTTAAGTCGACATTAATCAGATCCCTGTGAAACAACAGTATTTGAGGATGACAGGTACGCTTTAGGCATAGATTGTATCTTTTTAGATACAACCTTCCCGCTGATTAGGATACACTTTCGTTAAACAAACAATGAATATCACATTCTATTTCTATACTTCTTCACATTTGCTTTTCTCTTTATTCTGATGCTGTTCCACTTGTGCATTATAATTCATTTACTTGAGTTCCACGCGGAACACGTCTCGATTGCACTTGTTCCACGACTGTCCACTAGCTTTCATTTCCACATCATATGATAATTCACATGTCATCCTCGAACGATCAAATCACCTATTTATATTCAGGTTCCAATCAATGGCTTAACACGTGGTATCACTAGAAGGTCCTTGTCAGCGTGGTTTTAATTTATCTCAATTTCCTTCTGCATATTTACTGTACAGAAAAGATCAGCAACAAGAATCTCTAAGAACGAACCAACCAACTAGGAACCAACTGTGCAAAAAATATGCAGGAGGAAATGGAAGTGGATTGGCCATACTCTGAGAAAACCATCAAAGGATATCACACACCAGGCTATCGCTCGAGTGGAACCCGAACAGGAAGCGGCAAGTTGTTCGTCAGTGTGAGGGTGACATGGAGGAGGAGGTCATGTGAAGAAGAGATGAAAGCAAATGGGTAGACTTGGAGCCAAGTGATAACGTTCAAAGAGAAGCGAACGCCATGGAAACTTGCGGCTGAAGCCCTATGTTCCTCTAGGAGCTAAAAAGGAGAAAAATAATGATTCAACTTTTCCTAAATTTCAGGGACCAAGACTACTTCAGTGTTAGGCAAAGTTTTATGATGGTTTATTAACCAATTTTGTAGACTATTCCCCATCAGTTCCATATTTATAAAATGAAGGTGAATATTTATTTTACAGTTATACATTGAAGGCTATCAAATAAAAAGTGTTAACACTAAGACAGAGTTCTAACAGTTCTTACTTTCACTCTGTAAAAATTTACCGCATGCGCCCTAAAATCCGATGTTAAGTAACTGAATTTAAAGTAAGTGCAAAACTTGGACACTGTGGTAGAATGGAATTCCATATTAGACAAGTTTATTTTAACAATATCACACAGTGAGTGATGATGCAATATTAACTACTGGATGACAGACAAGGTTTCGAGCATAAATTATTAACATTCATAATCACATATCAATTTTATTCACACGGTTCCACAGTTCGTCTTATACATATATTTTCTCTCTATTCTGTCTATCCAACTTCCCTTTATTGTTTGCTCCCACTTTCAATATCTCCGGTATACGTGTTGCGTCATTCCGATTGCACGCAGGCGGTGTCGAGTCGATATACAAAGCTTCAGTGATTAACCTCTCTCTATATCCACCTTACTTTATTACTTTTTCATACTCCCACCCTGTCCCAACCACCCTATGTTGTGATCACATGGAAGTGAATCCAGTACAATGCAATAACTAAGCTCTTTTCTAGGTTATTTAACTTACCAGGGTCAATCATCATTCTAGGTCTAGCTACATGTTTATGTTCCAATTAATCTAGTTGACCCCGATCTATTAGTTTCACCTATGTAATTGAATGGACCTCACTAACAGTCATTACATGGTATTTGGTAAATTATATTATATATTTTCTTAATTGGATCTATAGGGTTTTTAAGCGGATAGGGTTTACCTCTGAAAGAGTCGGTTGGTTGTTTGGTTTAAATGCCACCCTAATTCCAGCCTCATTGAGAATTCTACGTAAGGCCTCTGACGTTCCTTCTTTATACGGCAGTGCTACAGAGGCTGAATTTAGACCCATAAGCCGATGGAAATACGCAACAATTTGGCTAGCGAACTTTAAGCACACACAAATATATCCTACGATAAAACGCTATAAAAATAAATTAACGAATAATACGAATGATATGTACAATATAAGCAATTTTACAAACCTGTTAAAGTTGCCATATCCACCGCCAGCTCTTGGTCCATTATAATAACTACGTTGATTGCCACCACCGCCACCGTATGGTATTCTGAAATTGGAATACTGTTGACCACCACCATAGGGTCGAGAATAGGATGAATTATTGTACAGATTATCACGTCCACCAGCCCCCCGATCATTACGAAAACGTCCACCATATTGTTGCCATTTTTGTGAACCACCTTGATTCCAAGAATCAGAACGTTCACGATCACTAGTTTTAGTGTCATGTCGACTTGATTCTCTAGCTGTTTCACGAGATGGTGAAGGTGATGATCGATATGACTTCCTAGGCGATCTAGGCTCAGAAGGCAATTGAGGTCGAGCTGGATCCATAAGAAAATTATTGAAGAAATGAGCCTAAAAGAAAAAGTAAAGAAGTAATTTTATTTCACTATACACCAGGGTGAATGAGTGAATGTCAAGCCTAAAAATATTTGATGAATTGCGTATTATTATCATTTTTCCTTTGGGTTCCGAGTGGAACGTAAAGCTTCAGAAGAAAATCTCTAATTATACTGGTCCTCTGCACTCCCCTTCAACTGACTGCTCATAATCTCTCATCTCCTCCTCACACGATCTCCTCCGTGTCACCTGCGGACGCCTAACTTGTCGTTTCCCATTCGGGTTTCACTCTAGGATATGCCTGGTATGCGGTTTCACCAAACAGTCTCCTAATTGTGTATCTAATCTATATCCATCTTTTTCACAATATTTGTTGGGCGGTAGGAGTGCGACGGCTGGGGATCGGACCCCGGACCACGTGAGGTGTGGTTGGCGAGTATTCCTAATGCTGAACCACCAACGCACTATCGTCAGTTATTAGTTGCGTCTATTAAAGACTTTAACAACCAATATATGAGTGACGTCGCAAACCATACTAACCAGCTTAAGTTTTCCTACACTGCTCCGACTCTGAGTTAAATATTTCACCGACAAGTTTTGTTAGCCAAACATTTTCTTAAGTATTATGAGGAATACCGAAATTACCTTAAAAACATCTGCCTACTTTAATTATTGAGACAGAAAGTGAATGCGATACATTTGCTTTGGTTACAGGAGCTCGTCAAAAGCGGATATCGGTTAAAGAACCACTAGGAAAGCTGGGAGTACTGGACAGCTGTTCCGTCCTAGTTTTGAACTTTTCATCAGTAATAAACCCCCGGGATTCGAACCCAGGACCTTCCGGAAACAAGACAAGCTTGTAGACCATTAATCCACTGGGACTAGTGGGCTACAGCAGGTCGGGTTTGAGTTAAAATATTCGCCAGTGATGACATCGGCTGGTGGTCGTGCTATTACGTGAACTGGCAGAAGTTAAAAATTCTTGGGCCGTTTGATTGGGTCCCAGCGGCTGAATGGTCTACAAGTTTGCCTTGTAAGCGGAAGGTTCTGAGTTCGAACCCTGGTGACGGGTGCGTACTGCCGAAGAGTCCCAAACTAGGCTGACGAAACAGCTGTCCAGTACTCCCAGGTTTTCCAATGGTTCTCTGGCCAATGTCAGCTCATGATGAAATCCTCCAACCAATCAAATCCCTGTAAACCAACACTTGCCTTCACACTTTTCAAAATTTAGGCCAAGATCAAAGGAAACCCCTTTTCTTACATATAATCCAAAAGAATGATTTTTTTTTGCAACCAATCGAAGGTAAACTTTTACAAAAAAATACGGACTATGTATCAATTGTTGTTCTGAAGTACATATTGTGAAAACAACTGACATGGCCTTAGAGTACAGTGCATTCCTAATATATTCCAGGAAGAGAGAAACAGAGAAGTTGACATAGATACAGGGAGTGTTCGCTATGCATTTGATTACCAACTTCCACTAACACAATCCTAACTGCCATACAACTACTGTGATGAGTGCTACTAACAATCAGATATAAGTAGTATATCAGTAAACGAATTCAGTAAAGTAATAATATGTTTTGGGGCACTGGAAAGGCAATCGAAGAAGAAAATTAAGAGAAGAACGTTACAACACTATACAGAACCCAACAAGCTATCGAATGTGATGATATTCGACCAATTTGCAAGTGATGTGCAAATAAAGACATACAGATAAGGTATACCAGAAATTTATGTACCTACAATGCGTTTGTCCCGACAAAGATTGTCTTCGAGCCGCATCGGTCTTTTCTTCTTTACACTACTACTCAAGAGTACAAAACAACAGTATATTTGTGATGATGACAAATTAAAAACCAAAAAAACCGTTGCCAAACAGAACATAACTAACTCACATTATCATTTTTAGCTGCTTCAACTTTGTCCATATGTTTATTGAGAATATGCTTTTTCACGTAAATTGGATCACGAAACTTTTTATTCGATAAAGGACAGACCCATATTACATCACTTAAAAAAACAAAACAAACCAAAGAGAAATAAAGTGAGTGTATAAAGCTTCAGCATTACTAATGAATTTGTTCAATTAAAACTGAGGAAAGAACATCGAAATTGGCAGAACTTACAACAGCGATGCGACATACCTTTAGTATAATTATGTTTTGATTAGACACTGTCTAATGTCATGCGCCTAGTGCTTTTTTAATATCGAATCAGAAGTATCTAATACAGTCTTACAGGAGCCTGAATAGCTCAGTGGTAGCGTCTATCACTGCGACACGGGTTGGAGTCTCAGAAGGGATATGATACACCTTGCTGACTGATGAGTGCCAACAAGCCCGAAACCTATGTCAGAGGCTTCCTGCTGATTGCCTCACACCATCTAAAATTTTGTCTGTTGTAATCATAAAAGTAATCAAATTGGTGATACGAAACCGCAGTTTTAAGGTTTGCAGTTCGGCCACAAATATTTTGATTTGGTTGTGTTTCCTGACCTGGTTTATTTAATTGAAAAGCTTACGTTGTCTTTCTAGACAATATCGTAAGTGCAGGCTTTAAATTCTTCATGAACGATGACATTATTGTACCCCCTGGCAATCACTGTGGTCAATTTACACTGATAATATTTACTGACTTGGAATTTGAACATTCTCGTGGTGTGTTTTATTTTTTATTAGTTGCTAAATTCAATCTATAGTAATATATTTGTTAGTCCCTGATTCGTTTGAGTACTAGGCTTCCAGAAATTTACCGGTAATTTTTGGTGTTTCCTCTGTTTAAGCTTTTTAACATTCCCTCTGTGATTGTCTACATGCTTTGATATGAAACAATACGCATCATGTCTTTCTCATAGCTAATTTACCATCTTGGATTCTGATTCTGGAGAGGGGGGGGGGACGTTTACTTCGACCAGTAGAGTGTTTATCGCAGTTTATTTTTTAGATGGTGTGTGTTGATCTCATTTTCTACTGTTGTTGGATTCTTTGGTCTACACAATACTGAATGAAGTGAATGTCTTGACTTTATGTGATATATCTATTTCAAATGGTCTTAGTATTCTAGCAGTTATTTCGGAAATATTCTTTAGGCATGGTAGAGTGATTTTTTGTTTTGTAGTCTTAGAAGATGGTTTCTTGCAGGTATTTGGATTTGAATCTAAACATTTTATGGTGAAATTGTATGCGTATTGATTCTTATTGAAGACAGCTAGTAGATATTTCTCCTCTATTCTCTTCGGGACTGGAGTGCTACAGTATGTTTGAACGCTTAAATATATATATATATATATGTATATATATTGTCAAGACATTAACAATGACACAAATAACCTTATCAGGCAATCGATCCACTGAAGCCGATGGAGAGATATATGATAGGAACAGTCATATCGATTTAGAGTGTGCAGAGGATATGACCCTTCTAGGTAAAGACGGTGATAAACTGGAAGACGTGGTTGTTGAAACTGGAAGGTATATGAAGGCTAGTTGTCTTTGGCCACAGATATCTGGATCTTATCTCCTATGTTAAGAGCTATAATATGATGAGTAATATTCAGGTTAGGCTTAGAGCATTAAGTAAGTCAATTGGTCACCTGAAAGAAGCATGCATAGCCCACCAACCGACCCCCTAGTCGAGCAATGTTAGATAACATACGATTAGGTTGGAAGAGAGTGAGGGTTGGGTTAAATGAAGTCCACGAAATCTGTCAGTGGCAGTTGGAGCAATGTAGACGTTTGTAGACTGTCTGGAGGTCGTCGAATTGATAAGAGTCAATGACAGCAAACTTTTAGTGACATGGTTCAAAATCGTCCTCAGTGAAGCAGATGAATTCACTGTTTATGACCCCCCCCCCAGATCAATCAAACTTCCATTGTATTCTGCCTAATCATTCTTTCTCCCATATATATCCACTCAATATAGTTCCTCTTAATTTTTTTCCTCTATATATCTATGTGTGCTATATGGATTATGGCAATTTCAAAAGCTGCACACTTCTGTGCATAGTTCTAAATTGACAGCACAGTCAGTCAGAATAGATGCCATTATGAAACAATATCTCCTTATGCGAAACAGGCATATAGTGTTGATCAACATACCAGTATTGATTTTTCACCTGTAAACAAAGCATCGAATTTTTTGATGAAAAACTACCCAAGCTAATAATGTGGCATGTGCTATATAGATTGAAGATTGACAGGAAGCGGCAAAAAACTGAAATCAACATTATACGTCAATGGATGCACAGAGATAGAAGTGTGCATTCCTCAAATACGGATTTTCATTGATGTTGTGGTCATGAAATAATCTCATTGGACGGGCTTTTGTCCCAATGTTTAACCTTGGACCAATCACCGGCTAATCAGAACAGTTTATTGTCTTCTGACCTGACCGACTTTTAATGTGGTTACAAATGTATAAATATGATGCTTTTTTCCGTATGAATATTATTATTATTCCCTTGGAAAATAGGGCTTAAACAACACCTCTCCACTTGCTTCTATTTTATGCCGTCCTTTTCAGCTGGGTCCACGATTCCCCATAATATCTCATCTCTTCCTCCATGTCGCCCTAGCACTGACGACCCTCTTGTCGCTTCCCATTGGGATTCCACTCAAGCATGGTCTGTATTGCACGCGATGTCATTCGACGATCTCCTCAATGCATGCCCGATCCATCTCCATTTTCTACCAAATATTTGAGCGATTGGCTCTTGGTTAGTTTGTTGCTACAGTTTCTTGTTGCTGATTTTTCCTGGCCATTTGATCCTGAGTATGAAGCCAGCGAAGGGGGCAGCTGTTTATCAGAGTTTGCAATCTTTTGGAAACCTTTTTCGTGACTGATACGCGGTGCAAGTTTCTGACCCGTATAAAAGGACCAACTTCACATAGGTATTGAAAATCCGAATCTTGTTCTTTATGCTAGTTGGCTGAGATAGTGCAGAAAATTTCCAAACTGGTTTCAAGTTGATGAAGGTGTATCTTGTCTTTCCGATTCTGCCTGTCTGGCTTCGACATCTTCATCCATCCCGCCTGTAGTTAAAATGATACTTCCTTGATAAATGAAGGAGGTAACTTCTGTTAAATCTCTCCCTTTGATGGTGATTGGTCCTGGTTGTTGTTGTTGCAGCCCGTCGGTTATCTATATCACTTCCGCCTTCTCTATGTTCACCTGTAGTCCTTAATTCAGTTTGTTGTTTTTCGCCTGTATGTCTCCGAGTTTGTGTGACATTAGACATATATCATCTGCGGAATTCAGATCTTCTTGAGTCTTCCTAACGGCGATCCAGCGTATTCCTGACTCCTTGCTCCCACAGTCTGACGCATAATCCAGTCCACCACAACTAAGAATACCGTCATGGGTGATAATAGGCAGTCAGCTTGTCTTACACCTGTATTCACTTCGAACACCTCTCTGAGTTTCCCGCTGTGGACCACTTGACACGTGGCATTGTCATATACCTCTAGAATGAGGTTTAAAAATTTTTGGCACTGCACACCGTAGTGTTGGGGTAGTCTCCAAATTACTTCTCGGTCAACACTGGCTATTGAAGGCCTTTTCGAAGTCGATGAAGTTGAGGTAGAGGTTTGACTGTTATTCTATTCTTTGTTCGATGACGACGCGTAGAGCTGCAATTTAATCAGCACACGATTTGCCTTTCCTGAATCCAACTTGTTTCAGGCTGGTGGAGTTCTGTATCCAGTGCATCTTTTATTCTCTCCGGGATGATGCGGCTTGATACCTTACTTGGCGTAGACAAGAGCATTATTCCACGCCAGTTCTTGCACAGGCCGAAGTCACCCTCTTTTGGTAGCTTGATAAGGTAGCTTTTCTTCCAATCAGTAAGCACCTTTGCTTCTTTCCAAACCTTTTCCAATAATGACGTGAGCCCTAACGAATATAGTCCATTCTCAGTTCTCTCAGCTTCTGCAGTTACAATTTACAGCTATACTTAAAGGTGCGATAACAAGCAAAAAGTAAAATTTTAAAACAAAAAAAATGATAAAAATAGAGTAATATACTCTTTTCTTTTTAACAAAAATAACACATACGTCTTTCGTTTCTTTCGGCGTGTATTAAGCTTGATAAATTCTTCAGCAACTTCTTCTGCATTACGAAAACCTAACTTTTTACAATCAATTTCTTTGAGTGGTGTAATAAGTCGTATTAAGCGTTTCAATTGATTGGTAAATAGCTAAATGTTGTACATATGCGGATAAGAAGAGGAAGAAAAGTTAGAATATAAGTTCAAGAAAATGAGAAGAACAACTAACTTCAATGACAAAATAAAACTATTTTTTCGACATGCATATCAGTAACAACATAATCAAATATCCTGTATGGCATGATTTTCAAGGCTTTTGTAAGACGGAGGAGGATCATCGAAGGCTAAGGAGTATTTGACAAGTATTTTGTCTTAGTTAGCGGATCTCTAGCTGCATGTACTCACAACCACATGAGGAATCGATTCCAGGACTGTCGATTTAGGAGACATTATTTATTATCATTCATTCCTTCAGTTCCTAGTGAAATATAAGGTGGTTTCAGTGGAACATTTCTATCCCACTCGATTCTCTTTCATCATTTTCAACAGGCTCCACAACTGTCAACAGGCTTTCGTTTCCATTTCACATGATGTCCTTCATATCACCCTCGGGACCCATGCGCAACACGTTACTTTTCATTTTGGTTTAACTCGAGAGCATGCTGGTGTGTGGCATCACTTGACAAGAACTTTAGTATGCAGCCAACAAACATATCAGGAGTCCAAAGATCCATGATTCATAGCTCTGACAGTCTACGGAAAGCCGCTATCAACCATCCACTTATTGTATATTCTGATTAGACCCGACAATTATAAGATGTGTAGTTCAGATAAACGACAAGTACAATACAGTCAGTTAATGTTTTCACTGAATATATAGTGTTTGAGTAACAGTTAGGAATCAGTTACTTGAAACGAATTCCTCATGTGAGGTCTAATGAGTAGGAGGAATATAACTGGAACCCTGGAGCTGACAGCCAGAAGTCAAATGCTTAAACAAATAAACCACGTCTCCATTAAATGCATCCCCGAAACACCCATAAGGAACTGACACCCCAAGTGAGATTAGAACCTGCGTCATTCAGTGCTATAGTTATAGAGACAGTACACCTGAACCGCTAGAGCGCTATGTGGTCAAACACATCGTTTAAACTCATTGCATTAACCTTGCCAATTTTATAATATCAAAGGTAAGTAATGTTGACGTTAGGCGTAGAGCGTTGGGCAAAGAGAGAAAATCAATCGAAGAGGCTAGAAAGTTACATAGATTGAAATGGCTAGGTCACGTGGTGCGCATGCCTAACCATCGCCTCCCCCTCCCGAGGGGCATTACTAGCTGATATAGGTGCAGGTTGGAAAAGAGTAAGTGGTGGCCAAACAAAAACATGGCCTCATCAATCCATGAAATCCCTGACAGTTAAACTGAGTCAGGTAGGGGGATGCACACTTCCGGGTTGGGGCCCGCCATCGGGACTCTAAGAATCAATGAAGGCTGGAGACAATAGGTGACATGGCTCAAAATCGTTGTCTTTCATATTTCTTTCTACCATTACTCATTCTGTTTCACTCTTATACTCATCTAAATTCTATTGATTCTCTTCTCTCATTTTCCTGTCTACCTTTGCGTGCTCTTTGGAACGTGGCAACTCGAACTGCTGCACCTCGGTGCCAAGTTCCATGTTGAATCCAGCAGCAGCAATATCAAAGGTTACCATATGTAATGGCCATATAACATTTGTGCGCGGTTAGTAGTAAACTTCGATGGTACATTTTACACGCAAAAGATGTACATCGATAATGTACATAGATTGTGGCGACTTGAACTGCCGCACATATGTGCAAAGTTCTATGTCGAAAACCGACCGACCGACCGACATCGATAATGTACAACTACATAACAGGCGTCACTTTAAATTTTGCGGCTATGAATGCGAAATACAGATCTTCATGACAAAAACGTATGGGAGGGAGTTTTCGGAGCTGCACACTATTTATTACACAGCACAGAATGGGCATTATAACTTTAGTTACTAATATGACTCAAATACTATACTAAAAGCGTTGTCATATACCACTCTTGTAGTTAAATACCAATACGACTAGTCTGTCCTACGTTGATTAGTCTCAATGTGCTGTTATATACTACTGATTGACTGATACGAGTAGTCAGATACTGTTTACACTATTCAGTAGTGCTTGCTAGCCGATATCGGAGTGATCTAAATACCTGGAGGTAGTTTCACTTTTTCGGTGACAATGGTACTCGGTTTAAAATCAAACCTTATAATGTCCTGAATAATTGAGGTTTCCATGGAAGACTGTGAAGCTTCACCTCAGATTATGTAGACTGCGAATCACAAAACAAAATTTATTCTCAATTTGGTTTACAACAGAAATAAACATGATTTAAAAGTCATTAAAAAAAACAAGGTGGGATTGAATATATAAATATTTTTAACTAGTTTGTTACTCTTCATCAATGAGGGCATGTATACCGTATAAGAAACAACCTAGCACTTAGATCTTACAACAAGACGCCTGTCGATTTCCCACTCATTTCTTAAGTGAAAATTATTTATTATTCTACCGTTCGTTAGCTTCACCAGAGTCCTAATGAGAAGACTACCGAACGCGTCAATTTTTGAGTGGAAGGCAATTTTTAGGTTACACTTTACCTAGCTACTGATAAGCTATTAAAGTAGACACTTTTTTGCACCTTCTTTTCTGAGTCGAACATAAGAGGCCTCAAGTTGTGAAGTTTCACTAGGGATATTGTTTTGTATATAGGGTGGGTTGCTAGCCTCATATCCAACTTCCACTCCCTACGATGCCTACTATAAATAGGACGGTAAACTAGGAAAGATTTCGGAGTGTCTCAGTGAAGAGTCGAACACAAAATTCTCGAGCGGTCGACGACAACATTTCACCACCACTGAACATCCCCCCCCCTCTACCCCACCCCCACTTCCCAAAATAAAGCAAAATTATAAAAAGTAAAAAATCTCTCACCTGACCAATTGATTCGAAACTAGTTGTTTTCTCTAAATTATTCATTTGTGTTAATGACTGTGTTATTTCATTTAGACTAGGTCGTATATGCATTAGATGACATGGATGCGGCATTAAATCCTCATTAACGTAGATAGCTGGTGCATAGAAATCAACTGAATGTACTATTCTTAGGTATAAAATTAATCTATCCAATGCTACTAACAGTTCACTATCATCTGATTCAAAGAATCTTGAAGAAATATCAAATTTTTGTAATTGTACGCCTGACTGTAGGCCAAGTTGAGGCATAGTAGATGGTTGGAATGAAATCGACTCCATACCACCTGATTATTGAAGGAAGAGAGAAACAGAGAGGGGAAGACAATAAGTAAATAAACAAATTCTCACGTAATTTGAATAAAATGTTTATTCTTGAAACCAAACCTCCGATTCAGCGTCTCCTGTTTTCATAAGAGACCATCTATACATTTTGGGATTTACACAACTTTGATCACAGATTTATATCTGTTGCAGAACCATTGAAAACCAGGGAGTAGTTGACATATGTTTCGGCCTAGTTTGGGATGCTTCAATAATACACAAGTAACGACCCGACCAGGGGTCGAACTAGGGACCTTCAGCTTTTGCAGAACACCTAATTGATATCAAAAGTTTCCAAGATAATTTATGAAAACCGTCAGGGACGCTGAGGCGATGGATATTCGTAAACTTAAGTGCTCAATGCTTGGGTGAGTGAAGGCTATTAATGATCATCCTTCTTATTCTTAAATCTCTAATCATTTTGTTTATTTTAATTAGCCTTTCATTTTTCATTCCATGTTAGATAAGTTTATTTTAAAAATACCACACAGTGAGTGATGCAGGGTTTCGAGCATAAATTATTAACACTCATAATCACATATCCATTTTAGTCACACGTTTCACAGTTCGTCTTATAAATATTTTCTCTCTATTCTGTCTCTCTAACTTCCCTTTGTTGCTTCCTGCCACTTTCAATATATCCGGTATAGGCGTTGCATCATTCCGATTGCACGTGTGCGGTGTCCAGTCGATAAACAAAGCTTCAGTGATTAACCTCTCTCTCTCTCTATCTCCACCAAACTGTATTACTTTTTAAAAATCTCACCCTGTCCCAAACACACTATTTCGTGATCACATCTAAGTGAATCCAGTGCAATGCAATGACTAAGGTATTTTCTAGGTTATTTAACTTACCAGGGTCAATCATTATTCTAGGTCTAGCTACGTGTTTATGTTCCAATTAATCTAGTTGACCCCGATCTATCAGTTTGACCTATGTAATTGAACTGACCTCACTGACAGTCATTACATGGTATTTGGCAAATTGTATTATTTTTCTGAATTGGATAAATCGGGCAGGTCCTTAAGCCGACAAAGTTTATCTCTGAGAGAGTTGGTTGGTTGGCTGGTTTAAGTGCCACCCTAATTCCGACCTCATTGAGAATCCTATGTAAGGCTTGTGAAGTTCCTTCTCGTTATACAGTAATTGTACTACAGAGGCTTTGAATTCTGCATTATTTTCGTCATTTCCATTGCTCTTGTTGGAGCAAATACATCATGTTTTTCAGATAAAATCGGTCTTTCAATGATGCCATCCAAATTCATGAAGGGCAGTGGTCTTAAATATACTATAACCGATTAGCCCCTAGACAAGGGTAATGATAATTTGACAAATATAATACTCAATAGTTATGTGCACGAAAATACACTGTAGGGAACAATACATATATTAAATTAAGGAAAAAAGTCATTGTAATTGAAGATGTTAAGTTTGAAAACCATAACTGTACACTTAAAAACCATAACTAGATAGCGTAACTAATCTGTAATGTCATACATACTACTGATGATATAAAATAGTTGAAGGCCGAATGAAGACAAGGATATCTAATCAATCCATGCATTGAAGATGACAATTAGGCATTCATGTATAGCAGTGTGTTCTGCCTGCCTACCTGCCAAGCAGCTGCAAACTTGATTGTGATAGAATATTCAGTCAATTTAGCACGATTAAAGCGTTAGATACATGAGACTGGCTACACTTCAGTCTTAGTTAAGATTGCGGCCGAAGAAGATATTTACCAACATAGAAGTTAATTCGTGGATGGTGACTAGCAGTGGAATACAGGATGAGCATTTCGTCCTATTTGGGACTCGTCACTGGATGTACCTGCATTTCGAAGTGAGTGATGATGTTCCCACCGACGCTCGAACCCAGCGCCCATGGTTTCAAGTCGTACTGATGTATGACCCGTTGCACAAGAGGTGGCTCTCGTAGCCCAAGTGGTCTAATGGATAACGGTTTGGCGTTTGAAACAATGGGCAATAGGTTTAAGCCTCGGTGGGAACATCATCACTCACTTCGGAATGCAGGCACATACAGATGACGAGTCCCAAATAGGACGAAACGCGCATCCTGTATTCCACTGCTAGTCACCATCCACGAATTAACTTCTAATTAAATGCCCAGACATCGTCGAAGCATCTGCAAAAGAAGCCGACATGTCAACCTGAGATCGAGCACTTCAGTCCAGTCAATCGACGGGAAATCTGAAACTGAATTATATTTACCTACATACTTTCAGCTGGTTAAGACATTAATTTATATGCGCCTACCCACTGTCTACGTTTGGGTAGGATGAATGAAAGTGGTGAGTTGTCCGTCCGATAAAGACATACAACCACTTTATAAAGCTGTTGATTGCATTCTTGTATCATATAAGAAAGTTGCCTAACTGGTATCCACGTGACTCCGAAAATCTGTGATTAGAAACTCTGACTGAAACAACCGTAGCGGAGTAAACATTTTCATGACTTGGTTTGCTTCCAAACGCAATATGTCTTATTTGTTCTATCTTTGCTTCTCCAAAGACCTTCGATTACACCATCCCCCTCTTCTCACCCTTTCTTCCCCCCCCAACAAATGGAAATGTAACTTTCGTTGGCTTAAGCGCTCAAACTTACAACCATTGGGTCCCCTGGGCAGGTCCAGGGGCGGGTGTTCTTCAATTTTGCTCCACCCACTTCAACCTGATCAACTAAGTAATATGTCCAGCTCTCAAACAGTGAGTGAAGCTCTTATATGAGAAGTTGGTCCAAGGTAATTTAATGGGCAGATTGAGGAAGACAGCGTTGGCATACTAGCCTCAATATACATTGATTATGTCTGCCTGTTTGACACAAACACACACACACATACACACTGACACGTTTGAGAGAATAAACTTACAGTATTCACTCCACTACTATCAGATACCTAATAATCTTTTATATTTATATTTATTGTATACATCTCTCTATATTACTAGCAAAAAAATAGTAGTATTTATAACTCTCATCCAATAATTAAAACAAAACAAATAAAGGAATATTATTACCCAATAGTAGAAGCTCCTCTTCAGCACTGCCTTCATCAACTAGATAATCTGTTAAACCTTGTAGAATAGGATTAGTTGTCTTAATAGTATTCAGTATATTAGCTGCTTTGATTAAATCACTCCCGGGATCGATTAGATTATCACTTTCAACACTATTAACACTTTTATTATTACTCTTGCTAATAGTATCGTTATTGTTGTTGTTGTTGTCGTTGTCGTCAGCATGTTTATCGTCTGAATTCATTGATACATCATTGATACTTGATGGTTTGTCATCCATTTTCTGTTGGAATGAATCATTCATTTCTGAATCATCTATTTGTTCACCTATAAGATGGCGACAAATGACGAGAATATAATTACAATAATGAATCAATTAATTTATTTAAATTACTAGCATACAACTAAACCAGCATTTTTTTCACAATCTTTAGATAGAAAGACAGGTGTTTAATACTCTCTGAAATCAGTGTGTACAAGCGAGATATCGACAACAATATTAACACAAGGAAGGAACGACATTCGAATTCTCAGCAATGATGTCAAGCCAACCAGTCAGCGCTTCCACATATATTTTAGAGAATTGACGCATCAAAAACGTCGCTAGAAGTACTTCTAATAAGTTAAAGTAGACTTTCATCAACAGATTAGTTCGTTTGATATTATAAGGATCAAAAAGGTCGACCAAAAACGAAAAAAACAAACAAATAAGGAACTCTGGCACTAAAGCCAAACAACCAAGAATTTATTGTTCAAAAAGGAGATGGACAGGAGAAGCAATGAGGAAACACTATTGAGTGATATCACTCTCCAGGTACACCGTCGAGTACAACTCAAATGGGAAACGATGAGGTGGGCGTCCGATGATTACATGAAGGAGATCATATGAAGATAAAAATGAGTTTGTGGGCAGTCGTGAAGTTAGATTGAAATAGAAAATAACGATTATTAACTCCGCATAATTAAGAACATAACAAGGAACTTTTAATTCCTTGGTGCTATTATGGTGAGAGCTGGCTAAAAGCCGCAATTGTAGACAGCAATTTACGTCAGTGTTACGTCCCAAATCGAGGTCATGAGAAAAAAATAACAAGGCTTAACCTTGAGGAACTCACCAACCAGTCACAGAAGACGTGACGTGTGCAAATACGATTCGCAGACATATGGCTCAGCTTTCTGAGAAACGATCACAAGCAGCAAGAAAACAACCAATCAGAAGACGTTGCTTCTCCACTAACAATAATGTACATAAAAATCTATAAATACCTCTTGATTTTCTCAATAAACAATCTGTTGCTTGGCCCTTGTCTTCTGTCGTTACACTATTTGTGCATTTCCACTCTGATGATTTCAGCCGGTTTGAGTTACATAGGACAGTGTAAACTACCTGGCTGGTGTCCTCAACATGCTAATAAATATGACTAGAGACTGTTAGCGACATGACTAAAAATCCTTCTCACTAATTTACAAACCCCCAGATAGCCTTTAACTTAACATTATTCTCTATCCTATACACTTCTGCCTGTTATAGTTTCTTTACATTTCTTTTTTCTTTTGCTTCAACTTTATGTGGTTTTTATGAAGTGTGACAAGTTGAACTGCTGCACTTTGTGAGCACATTTTCCTATGTAGAAAACTCAGTTCAGTTCAGTTTCATGCCTTTACCGATGGTCCTGCAACTTGTCCTCTTCTATGTCACCTTATTACCAAATTTCTAAAAAAATCAAGAAAATGGCAAGGAGGTTGTATATTTCAATATGAAATCTTGGAATTCGGAATATATGTATATTAAGTGACCACACATGTCTGTCTCCAGGAATAAGATAAGTCTGTCTGCCGTCTAACCAACAGTCTGCAATTTAGTGTAACAGAATATAATAAATGTTACTCAACAATCACTGGTTATTCTATGCATTCGGAAATGAGCCACACCTAATGCAAGAAGGGCTAATGATACTACTTGGCTGTAGAAACCTCGATAGGTGGACAGTAGAGTGCCACAGAACAAATTCAGTTTAAAAAAGGAGAAAAGCAAATGTTTTCCTTCAGTTTAGTTCACGAAATGACATCAAATGAGGAGCCACTGAATACTAGAGACTATATTGGATAGCTCTATTTCGTCCTAGCTGAGGACTCTTCAGCACTACGCACATCCATAACCCCACCGAAGATCTCACCCATGACCTTCAGATTACGAGATAAGCCCGCTGCCCATTCATTCACAGTTAGTGTGACTTAATCCAAAGGTCCCTGAATTCTAACTTCTACCAATTCGCGGGATATAGTGCAGCTGCCAGCCAGTTTTCTTTATTAATAGTCCTCCTATGAACCCAAACAGTCAAGTGTAGCTTGCTAAAGTCCCCTAGGAGGAGACAAACAACGCTACAAGCTATAAATGACAGATTAAAATGGATGATACAGATCATTAAGTCAACAGTCATATCCATCTACATATATCGGTCTAAATCTTATACAGCTGATGTGTTACTGATAGTAGGTACAGTAGAAAAACTGCACACCTATCCACACTACACAAGGTATCTATGAGCAAAGTACGTTAGTAGACACAAACAAATTGCTAATTAATAGAAGACAGTGAATAGCAATAAAACCCTTTGTCTAAGATAAGCAGCTACACTGTGTATAACTTTGAGACAAGTAAATCAAGCAGTCTGTAAATGAATGCGAACACTGAACGTTGGTTCGTTGACCTTGGTCACCATCGGCGGGCAACTCGAAGGCGCGAATGATTCAATCGTGTACAAGTTGGAAGAAGACGAAGGAATACGAATATAAAGTACAGCACATTCCTTGTAAAACATGTGTTTATAGATTTTGTATCAATATCGATTTTAATTGCCGAACAATACAAGTTATTGCAAGTACTGGTGTTTTGGCGTTGAAGTCGATAATCGGTCATAGTAATTATCGATTCGGAGCGTCTTCGCAAATAATAGGAACTTAGCGTTAAGTTCCTTGACACAGTCCAGCTTTCGAGGAGGAAGGCTTAGTCAACCAAATACCGATAGTAGCAGTAGTAGTTGGGCGAAACAAAATAAATACCGATGACCCCAGTAAGGCAGCCTACACCCACTAATGATATCCGGTTATCGACCAAAGGGCATGTGCATCTCTCAGCAGTCCACTCCGCCATTCTTTACGGCTGGATGTGAGAAATAACCATTGAAAGTGGAAGACATGAAGAGCCTGGCTAACTGTCTTTGATCACAAGTGTCTCTCTGTGTTCTATCTCCTGTTTTAAGTGGTATAATAAGGTGAGCAATATTGAGGTTAGGCATCCGTCGAGTGCTAGGTAAGGAGGGGAAATCAATCGACGAGGTTGTGAAGTTACATCGATTGAGATGGCTAGGATATGTGTTATGTATGCTTAGGCATCGATTGCCTTTCTCGACGGGTAATGTTAGCTGACTGCCATAAGATCAGGTTGGAAAAGAGGCAGTGGTGGTCAAAACAAAACATGGCTTCATCAGTCAACGAAATCCACAGCAGTTAGTTTAAGCCGGCCAGCCACGTAGAAAGGTGTAGACTTCCCTCCTGACTGGTTGGGGTCCTCGGGATGGTAAAAACCAATGAAAGCTGGAGACAATTGGTGATATGGCTGAAAATCGTTCTCAATGGTTGGCGCAGATGCATCCACTCCTTGCGATGTATAATATCCAATAAAACTGTATTGTTCTGCCTTATTACTATTATTTTTTGCCTCATATCTCTGTTTATTATCCCTCTTTGGAATCTTTCTCTACCTCCTTCTCTTGCTTTGTGTGCTACATGGAGTGGAGCAACTCGAACTGCTACACATCTGTGCAAGGTTCTAGAGATGAAACCAGCCAGTCAATCAGTCAGTCTTATGTGGTTCAAAATAACTGTCGAAGACTTCATGGACTAGTGCTAGACTTTGATCACCTCCGTATATTCTCCAACTTGGCATTGCCCCTTGTAAGATAGGCAGTGGTTAGGAATGCGCGACACGTGTCCCAGCCATCTCAATCAATGTCACTTCACAACCTCACCGATTGATTTAACCGCGCCCCCACCCTCTTACCTAACATTCTCCGCCTAACCTCAATATTACTCACCAAATTATAGCACTCAACACACGAGATAGAATGCAGACTACCTATGATCAAAGACGGCTAGTCTTTTCACATCTTCCACTTTCACAATAGTTATGTCTCACAGCTATACAGGAGGCTGGCTGCAGTACACTAAATCTACACAAAAATGTGAAACTTATGCATCAAAAAAGTGCACTTTAGAGTAGATAGAAAGTAGTTATCGAATCCAGAGCGATGATGTTACGGTGTATACAGAAAGTTCCTATTATTGCTTATACTTTTGAATGATTAAAGTGAATAGCCAAAATAAATACCTACCGAGTGTTTCTTCTAAGTTAACAGATGTCTCTAGTTTATCTACTTCCATTGTTTCATCTTGATGATTTGGACTATGAACAGCGGTAGTAGCAGTAGTAGTAGTATCATCGGATAATTTATTCTCATGATTATTGTTCAGTTGCATTTCATTATTTTCATTGCCTTTTAATTCACCAGTTATTGTTCTGCCCTCTTCACCTTCTTCTCCATCTTCAGCACCAGCAGTAGTAGAAGTAGTCAATCCATCGTCTTGCTTTACACCATCTTCATTCTCACTTAACACCTTTCCATCATCTTTACTTACAATATGCTGGGAAGTATTATCTTGGCTACAATCAACTAGCCATAATCCTCTAGCTTTATCCAATTCATGAATAACACGTGCTGCCATGACTAGATGACGTCGAACTAATGCTTTCGATCGTATACTTGTTGGACATGTATTTAACAGCTTGCTAAATAATTCTCCAGTATTTCTAGCTCGTTCTTTAAACGGTATTTTAAAGGGTTCATTAATCGGACGGGATAAATGTAGACAATCGATTATCTCAGCAGGAGCATTACAGTCAATTGCGTGTTGAATTAATTGATTTTTAATAACAGTTAAATCAATATTAATCCATTTACTATCACCGTCATTGTTATCATTAGTATTTTCATTATTATTATTATTATCATTAGTAGTAGTAGTAGTAGTATCATCTTTATACTGTGAAACAAACGATGCCCATCCTAAGCGTTTTAATAAAATTTTCGGCAAAGCATTCTTCACTGTAACAAATGCTTCATCAGGATCTGCAACCGGTGGAGAATCTTTATCTGGCATAACAACTGGATCTAAAACAGCTAAACGTAAGAAATGAGGTGAAGTAGAAAATACCTTGAGAGGAGAAAGAAACGGGAGAAAAACAGGGGAGAGAGAAAGAGAAGACAATAATGAGAAGTAATAAGGATTACTTGATATTATCATAAAATTTACCAATATAATATAATGCATAGAAACTTACTCAAGTTAAATGGGACAGCTGTTTCGTCCAAGTTTGGAACTCTTCAGTGTACGTGCCCAGAGGGGTTTAAACCCAGGACTACTAGGACCCAATCTAATGGCCTACAAATGGTGACTAGGCGGGTGGTCTGTGAGTTCGCCTTGTAACCGGAAAGCCCTAGTTTCGAACCCCGGTGGATGCGTGCTTCCGAAGAGTTATAAACCAGAACGAAACAGCTGTCCAGTACTCCTCGGTCTTCCAGTGGTTCGTGATTAAACTCGTAACTAATCAAACCTTTATAAAATCAAAAATTTGTTGATGAATTGAATAGGCCACCAACAGAAACCAGCAATAATTAGACAGTTGTGGTTGGTTAGGTAGTTAGAACTCAGAGCCAACTGGTACAGTTTTCCAAGCGTACTTGGCTTTGTCACATATTTGTTATGTAAATAGTGGTGATACCATTCACTTCTGTAGGCTGGAATACATGTAATGGGATTCATATCCCAGGAAATATTCACTGAAAGTCAAGTGCCTGGAGCCAATAATCCACATTTCCACAATGACTGTTGTAACTGAGGTAGAAATCACACACAAAACTACTAGAAGTACTACTATTCACCCATACTAACGATTTCCCACTGATATTTCTGAAGCAAACTGATCAGCCTCGTTCTCTAAATATTAGACACTTGAACTGGAAATCATGGAAATAAACAAATAAAATTTAATGATATATCAGCAGACTGAAGGTGGATTGCAATGCTCCGCAACCTAGTGCAAAATACTTGAGCATTTAAAACAATAGGTTAAGGCTCCAGTTCGACTGATAGGAGTACATTCCAGAGTGTTTTGTATTGTACTGCTTGTCACTATGAAATGAATAACCTAATAAGAAATGGAGTAAGCTAATTTGGAGCATTTCATCGGCACATAACTAGAACTGTTGATGCAATCAGACTGATGGACTAGACAAGATCCTCAATATGAATTGATACTACATATGGATAGGTATTTCAGTAGTCTTTGGTATACTTAATAAGAAGGTAATACGGAGAATTGGTTTCAACGGATTCCAACTACTCACAATAGACATTCTCTCGTTCATTGATTTGCGTTTCGAGTGGAACATAGAAGTCTTATTGAAGTCTCGCGGGCCGTTGGTGTTGTTTTTACGGAGTGGGGTTGCTAGATTCAAGCCTAACCTCTCCTCTTTCTACGGGCTTGCCACCGGCTAGTAAAATAAACCAGGATTTAGGAGTGCGTCGGCTGAGAATCGAAACTCGAACCACCAACACACACGTTAGACATCGGTATATACCACATAGCTTTCATATTTGAAATATTAACATCATTTACGATGTCACAAGCACACGCTACATTGCAGTCTGAATAACTTCGGCTTTCAGAATAAATTACAGAGAAATCCCACGTCAAAATTGGTATTTCATAGGGACTGGATAGTAGGGTGTCACTAGTTTCTTCAAGTAGATAAAACCATTCCGTTTTTTGAGCCAAGTCAATCTGAATAAAATTTTACTTTTGTTTGTCACTTGATAAGTTCCCAATAATGGAGAACAAAATATAGACACTTTGTAAGCAGGAAACATAAGTTTTGAGGAGTGAAAACAGACCAGCAATGTGCACCCTACTGTTAACAGCGGTTTTTCTCCAGTTCCGTTCACATTTCCCACCTATTATTACTTCATTCTCTTGGGTTCCAAGTGGAACATAGGGCTTGAGCAGAACATCTCCATTTTTCCTGCTCTCTTTAGTCCTTTTCAGTTGGCCTCACGACTGCCCATAAGCTGTCATTATCTTCTCACACGGTCTCCTCCATGTGATCCTCGGTAGCCCAACTCGCTGAACTTAATTTATCACAACTCAGATGTTTGATACAAATCAGTGCACTAGTCTATGAGACATAACCTCAATATGTCAATCAGTTATCTAGAGTAAAATAAACCGTGAAGCGGTTTAGACGGACCATTGGAACCAGACACACGGTAATCGATTCATAAAACCAACGATACGGCGTGTGCTATTCAAATGCAGATTGGTAGGAAGCGGCCAAAAAAATTGAAATCTACATTTTAAGTCAATAGCTGCTGAGGTAGAAGTGTGTATCCCTCAAATCTGGATTTAGTCTACATTGTGGTCATGAAATAATCTCATTGGACAACTCTTCGTCCCACTACTTGACCTAGAGCCAGTTGCCAACCAATCAGAACAGTTTATTGTCCGCTGACACAGCCAACCTTTAATGTAGTTAAAAGTGTATAAATATGACGCATTTCTCCCTGATAAAAGAAGTTCGTTATCAATTCTCTTATCTTCTGCCGTTACAATGGCACACAGACAGCCAAACACCCTCACACTGTTAACACACAGTAGACCAATATAACTTCATATCACATTAAATTAATGATGCACAGATCACCTAGGCTAGTGAGCTACACCTCCACGATAGCATATAGTAAGTATGATATTGATAATGTAGACAGATAAACAGTGGATTAGCGATCGATATCTAGTCTGAAAATAAACCAATCAAAATTGGCCTACGTAAAAATTAATGCCCACTAATTTATTGATCATGACTACAGACTAATTGACATATCCTTGGTGATTTTTTGAATCGTACACTGTTATGTAGAGTATACTGTGGCTGACACTGAAACATACTTTTCAGTTCACGTCGTTCTATGTGTTCTCGCTTAAGTAGTACGGAATAGGGAACACAGGTAGCTATCGTATAGTGTTGTTAGCGTAGTCAAGCGATACCCGTGATCAGCAAGTCTGCGCTCCCCACTCGGCGTCCCTTTTTTCAATCTCACTGCTATGGCGAAATATAAAAATGGTGGCGTCATAACAGCCACTGAATTATACATGCAATCGCCTATACAAGTAAATCACCATCATTCTGTGACTAAGGTACTAAGAGAGAGAAAGTGTGTGTGTGTGCGGGGTGGATAATAACTTCATAAGTGTTTAACTATAAACTTACAGAAATTAGATCTCGTTTAAATATATTGAAGGGTATATGCGGTAGGAACAGTAAAGAAGTACAATGAATAGGATGACGTGTCTGTTCATTTCTCCGAGTTGAATCATCTTTGTGTGAATCTTTATTTGCTTCTTCTGTGGTCAGTTTATTATCTGACATAGAATTATCCATATCTATTGATTTAGAATCATTCAGAGGATCAGTTAAATCTTCTGATGTAAATGTTGTATCCAGTTCACCTTCTTCTGTTGCCTCCAACTTTGATTCATCATTAACTGTTTCAGTTGTATTTTCACCTTTCTGGTGATTTTTATCAAGTGAACTAAATGTGAATACATTCTTTGATTGACGGTTTCCATCATGCGGATGCCGACGACGACGGCGACGACTCTGTGAAGAGGGAGCTTTTGTATTGACTTCAAGTTTTTTAGAAAGTTTCTTTTTCTGTTTTCTATTATTTGTCTCACTTTCACTATCACTGTCACTGGTGTGACTGCTGCTGCTACTTCGACTACTGCCACTATTACTGCTGCTGCTATCACTATTGCCATCGCTGTCCTCATCATCATCATCACTGCTGCCACTAGTGCTACTCTCACTAGAACTGTTGTTATTACTACTAGTACTGCTTGAACTAGAACCACTTCTGCTATGACGACTACCATCATCATCATCACTATCACTTCCACTGCTATTACTCCCATCATCGTCTTCGCTTGAACTGCTATCTTCTTCACCTTCTTCATGATCTTGATGACGTGCAAGTTTCTTCATTTTACGTGTCTTTAGCTTTTGTGATTTAGATTGACGATTGTGTGAATTTGTTCTACGTTTCTAGAAAACAAAAAGAAAACAAATAACTTATATATATATATATAAACTAGTAGGGTGCAGCAGGTTAAAGGTGAGGCAGTTAGTCATCGCGCTATGACGTGCGTGAATTGGCAGAAGTTAAAATTGATGGGCTGGCCATTGGATCGGGTCCCAGTGGCTTAATGGTGTACGAGCTCACTGGCCGTGTAACCAGAAGGTCCTGGGTTCGAACCCCGGTGGGCGCGTACTGATGAAGAGTCTCAAAATAGAAAGAAACAGCTTTCGACTACTCCCTGCAGGCCTTCCAATGGTTCTCTAGCTGATGTCAGCTCATGATGAAATCCTGTAACCAGTCAAAACAGAAATCCCTACCAACCAATACTTGAAAATATAAATAAAAGTTTTGATGATAACTTATTAAAAGAATAATACATGTAATGCATTTGTCTCAGTTGGTAGTCAGCTTCACATGTACAACTGTATATGGCAATGAGCCAAAGAGTTACACTGGCTGAAAAATGATGTTCTACCATGTCAGAAAGGGTGTTTGGATAGCGATTACATTAAGAGCAGTTATCATCATTGTGTAAGTTGTTGACACTATATATTGAGGGGGGTGTATGGGGTGCCGGAGAAGCCATATTGCCGAGGTAAGCAGTTATACGTTGTTTCCTTCAGACGACTAGCAAGCCAGATATGCTGCCTTTCGGATCCGGCGAAGGGGGGTTAGAGAAGGTTAACCCCGAAAATTGCGTATCCCGAATTAGTTTGCGGTGGTCCATAGTTGGCATTAAGATCTAAACAGAGATACACCTTCAAAAACTAACTCAAACACGCTGTGTGTGTGTGTGACTAGGCCTCAAGCAGTTGTGCCCTTGGGACTAACTTTATTGCACATCCCCGCTAATTGTAGCATAGTAGTCCGTTGCTATGATGGTTTAACTTTCAATAAACCAGTCGATCGATATATCGTCTTTTGATGAAAGCATAGGGACATGGAGTGTCCGCCTTTATGTTTGAGGCATACACATGGCTTAAAATACTCAACAACAACAAAAATTATTCAGATTATAAGTCGTATAAACAACGCCTAATCATGTGCGAGAGAGAGAGAGAGTTCATGACCGACTGATTGGTTGATTGATTGCTTTAATAATAGTTTTCATCACAAGTAGAGATAAACTAGACAATTGATACAAAATGGTAGAATATTAGACAGAAAAATTCGTTTATAATAAGTCTTCAATAGCTTAAACCCACAATTCAATAATGCACTCAACTCGAAACAATCAGGTCTTGTGACGATCATTTATTCAATCTGTGGACGGAATGAACATTAACTGTTTATAGGACTTTCATCATGAGCTGACATTAGTTAGAGAACCATTAGAAAACCTGGGATTACTGGACGGCTGTTTCGCCCTAGTTTGGGACTCTTCACAGTACACGCCCACCGGGATTCGAACCCAGGACCTTCTGGTTACTAGGCAAGCTCGTATACCATTAAGCCACCTGGACCCGATCCAATAGCCAGCCCATGAATTCTAACTTCTGCCAATTCACGACATAGCGCGACCCCTAGCCATTGTCTTCAGCGAGTATTTGCCCTCACACCCGACCTGCTGCACCCTACTGGTCACGACTTCTCACTAGAACCCCAGGTGACTACCTACCTGAATAGGGCCAGTCGCTAGTGAGCATCCAATGGTTCTCTAACTAATGTCAGCTCATGATGAAAATCCTGTGACCAATCAAATCCCTACAAACCAACACTTGAATATTAAATGTTTATATTTTCCAGCCTTTACCATTTCATGGAAGAATGGCATTGTCTCCAACGTCTCATTAAAAAGTTATTAGGTAGTGGGTGAGTGTGTGTACATCCCACTAAAGTTATAAACCAGACCAAAACAGCTGTTCAATACACAATGATAATTCAACATATGTATATGTCGGTTAAAATAAAATCTTTTAGTGCTGTTGTCTTCTCTGAGATAGACAGTTTGTCAGTTGAAGCGCCAATAACTTCATACTGAAAGCTTTTCAAGGATAAATCATCAAGCCTAGACAAAGGACAACGACATCTACACCTAATCAAGGTGAGATTTCACCAGTTCCCCTTGGAAACAAAAAATTATTCAGATCACATAAAGCATGCGACCTCCTTAATATCATAAATGGTACTTGATTTCATGTGATTTGATTCGTTCACATAGGGAAAGTTTGAACTGATTTCGTCCTCTGAGATGTGTCGAACTGGATACGCCACCGAGAAACGTTTGTTTAGTATTCATATCACTTCGATGATGATCTGGCTAGCAAGCAAGCGCTACTGCTGATTGATGTCATTGGTTTACAACTACTTATATCAATGAATCAGTAGTATATACTAGTTCTACACAAACCTTTTCGATTATTTTTCGAAAAATTACAATGAAATCTTACTGTTTTCTTTTTAGCCTTTTTATTCGACTTTAATTTATCCTTATCTTCGTCTTCGTCTTCTTCTTCGGATGATGATGATGATGATGATAAGTTGCCTCTTCCCGATTTAATATTTTTCTCTTTTCTATGTTTAGATTTATCAAGGCTTAAAACATCAAACCTCTTCGAATTTTGTTGTTCAAGAAATTTATCCAAAAGTTGAAAATCTTCATCTGTACCACCGGCAAGTTTGATTGCAACTAACAAAATCAACACAGAAGTAGAGAAAACAAAAGTGGTGATAATAAACACGAAAGGGATCATTTATTCTCTATACAAATGCGCACACGCACACATGTATTCTCTTTTATACATTTGAACAGAGAAAGAGCGTAGATTGGTGCAGAGAATAACATAAATTCAGTGCATCTGGTGAATTAATCTTTCATTGAGGATTATTGTAAGAACGTCATAGTGAAATAAAACGTAAGGATGGTTATATATTTAGTAATACTATAAGATAATTTATCTTCCTTAAGTTTTACTTCATTATGCCGTTCCATTTTCATTCAGCGGACAACTAAATCCTTGTGATAAGCAAAAGTATCTTAAAATTGCATTATAACATATTTCATTAGATGCTACAGGTTGTACTCAACTGAAGAGAACCAATGGAATACAATGCATTCATGTTATTCTCTTTACCAATGTCATTTCATTCTCTCTTCGCGTACCAGAACTATAAACGTATATCAATTTTCAAGAGTTTCTTGTAAGGATTCGATTTTTTCCAAGTTTGATCACGGATTGATATCATCATTTAGAGAACCACTGAAAACCACCGGGGAGTACTGGACAGCTGTTTCGTTCTAGATTCGGACTCATCGCCAGTACCAATCCACAGGTCAAAAGCCAGACTCGTAAACTATTCAGCGACTGGGACCCAACTCCTCAATGGCCAGCTCATGAATTCTAACTTCTACCAACTCGTGACTTCAGCGGGACCACCAGCCAATTTCGTCGGAGAGTATTTGTCCTCAGTCCGGACAACTTGGTGGTGGACCCCACTGACCACGATGACTGCTCACTAGAACTCCAGGCAACTTCAGAACAACTGTCGAGTACACCTTGCTTTTCAATGGTTCTCTAACTGATATCAACCCGTGATTAAACTTGAAACGGATATTAATTTGGATGGCGAGAGTCAATCAGCAATAAGACCTGAAACTAGATCCGCTGCTTACTGGTAGTTGTTTAAACAGGCGTGTATGAAAAAGTGTGTTGTCGAGTTATACATCACCAGTGACTAGACAATACGATACTGGCTAATTCCAAACAATTTAAAAGTACTTCTTAATGTGTTGGGATTCCACCGTTAATATATCTGATCGCATTGATCGTCATTGTGAATGGATGAATGTTATGATACTATCACGATTAAGGACTTGAATACTTGAACTTGTCTAGTGTTAGCTAGAGGGAGAATGCAAGAAGTACACGTTTCCTCTTATTTGAGACCTATCAGTCTGCCAGATATACTTGCTGCCTAGCGAGTGGTGATGTTCTCACACAGTGAGACTCAGATTCAGTATTAATTCACACATCAAGGCATTACCTATTAGGCTACTGGGCATCAAGGTATAATATTAATAATAATAATAATAATCTAAAATATGTACCCAAGAAATGTGAACATTATCATGTTTTTTTCTGTTAGGATAATTTTTCTAAAACACACTCACACAAACCCCAAATGATTTGGAAATGAAGAAATAAGCACTACATAACTCAATAATCAAGGCATTTCGCAGTTGATAAAAAGTTTAAATGTCAGTTATCTCTAGAAACTCAGTGATCTAAAAAAGACTTTTCATACAGATTATGAAGTACATTCTTTTTGTGTAACGGTTTATGATACAACTTAGCTGACCAGACTGAAATAGATAAAGTGGGATTGATATTAGATGGTTAGAGGCAATCAACGGGAGGCCTTGTTCGACCTAGGTTTCGTGCTAGTTGTGCTCGTCAGTGAAGCGTATCTGTAGTCTTGAAGGAACTCATGTCCCTTCTGCAATTCGAACCTGAGTCATAGTGTGCTGCAGTCAGAGATGCTACCACTGAGCTATTGAGGCTCACGATTGATCTCTTGTAGGATTGTACTGGATACTTTGATTGGACACTAGTCGGTAAGTAGTGTTATGTGTCTAGTCCTTTGTTTGGTGCAGACTGAATTCTATCAGTCAAGTTTGTAGTGTGGCCAGTATGCTAAGTGGCTCGCCATCACGGTGCACTGTAAATTGGTGATATTAGACGATTGGAGGCAATCGGCAGGGAGCCTCGAACTTAGGTTTTGTGCTTGTTGGCACTTATCAGCAAGTGAGATTCGAACCCATTACCCATTGGCAGAAAGATGAGTGTTTGGGGTCAATGTATGAAGCATATCTCCACATTGAATGTGCTTTTTTTAGGCTAACTCCAGATTAATACCTTCACTATGAGACATCAGTTCGCCTATGTAATCCACTGTACTTCTTTTATATTAGGTGAAGTTAGAGTGTTTTAGTGAGAAATGAATTAAATCTAAATCAGTGCACAGGTCTATCAAGTTGTACAGAGTTATATAAAGTAAGTCCACCATTTGCAATACAGTTAAATTCTTCTCGATTATCACTGGAACAAAAGATTCTAGATAAGCTGAAAATTTTAACAAGTATTGAGCTCACATATTATCTTATTTAAGATTCTCTTTTAAATCTATGACCAACCAGACACTAATAGGCATAAGTTACAGAAACACTGAAGACCAAGGAAGTATTGGACAACCGTTTTGTTCTAATCTAGGACTCTTCAGCAGTGCAGACCAACGACTTTAAAGTCGCATAGTGGGGTTGGCCTGTAAGTTGAGAACAGCGGCTGAAAAGTACCGAGTACTTCTTTACTTTCAAAAAACTCTTCAACTGAAATCTGTATGACTCATCTCCTTGAATTTATAATTTGCAGAAGAAATTCAACACGTAACTGGAAATTGAATCAACAATCATATATGTACACCAGTTGTAAATTTAAATGTTATAATGCTGAAAAGCAGTGACTAAAAGTGAAGTGAGAACAGGAAACTTGTTTTCACTAATACTCTGAGACGATGTTTTCATTATGGAGTGAACAAAAAAAAGTTTCATTAATATATTAAAAGATTTTCAACTTGATTTCGGTATAAGGAAAACTACAATCCTAAATCCAAGCGGAAAACCATGTCATCAGTAATATTTTATTTACCATTTTATTTTGTTTTATTTATTTATTGATTTTGATTTTGATTACAGTTTGATGCCACACCGTATTTTCAGTACAAGTATGGAATTTTCAGCATGGATATCGGTAGCCCAAATTTTGCAGGCCAACCATAGATATCGGGTGTGCATCGGCAGTGGATCGAAACCCGGACCATGTGCATGGTCGACGAGAGTCCTAACCACTGTGCCACCGACGTACCACTCTACAATGACTGACTGCATTTTCAAAGTAGAACAAAGCACAGAAGCGCAACAGTTCTGGTTACCATAATCCATATAGTACACAAAGGTATAGAGAAAAGAAATTCAAAAATATATATCAATGAGGAGAAATGCGCAGGATAAAAAATGAAGTACACTGTCGGACATGAAAACTTAATAGATCTGGGAGACTACAAAATGTGAATACACCTATACTCATGACAATAATTTTGAGCTATGACAGCGACAGCATCGGTGGCACAGCAGTAGAATGCCCGCTAGCCATGCAGGTGGTCCGTGGTTCGATCCCTGGCCACCAACGTACTCCTTTACCTCGCTAAGCCAGTAATAGGACTGACAAAGAGGGAAGGCTGGACATGAGGCTAGCAACCCCATCCCGTAAAAATAAACAGCACTGCTACAGAAACTGCAAGCCTGTATCTTGAAGCCCTATGCCCCACTAGGAACGTAAAGGAATGAAAAAATAACACCAACAGTCTTCACTCGTTGGTTTCTAGCGTTTCAATGATAAGTAAGACAAACCTTTTCTTATTAGTCCACTCACCCATGTCTAACAGACGGACAATTTCTTTTTCATAACCACTAGTTAAATGCAGACTGTTAAAATAACCATTTTTGTAAAATTCCATGAAGATTTCTAAACGCTTTTCAAATAACTTTTTATTTGACGATGATTCTGTACAGTAATCTGGATGATATTTCTCACGAAACCTAAATTAGACAAAAACAACAACAAAAATAAACATACACAATTACAATGTAGGCTTTATATAGTTATCTTTAAATATACTAAGACTATAAAAGCGAGAAATGAACGTTTAGTGTATTTAATATGCTCGATGAAATGGTTTTACAGGAGTATAGGAAAAATTCTCAGATTAAGATGACTGGTTGATAAACCTTCCCACTTGAACTAGTAACAACACTAATGGAATAAAAGAATAGGAAGTAATTCGACACATACTCGCAGGTTCATGCACTGAGCAATGTACGATGTGTTTGCCTTGTGAGTGCTACTCATGCCTTCATAGATTGAGAGTGTGGCCTCTACTCGCGACAACGCGGCGACAGTTGGATGTCTAGCCGATAAACTATACGTTCAACCATCATAGGTAAATTTAAGGGCAGTATAAAATAATTACATGGATAACACGTTCAAGCCACTAAGCACTTGGATATCAATTTGAAGTTATTTAACTAGAAAGTGGAACAAGACCTTATAGAATAAAAGTTATACTTTATTTTGTGTTGTAGCTAAACTACACTCGAAGAATTTACATGCCCCAGCAAGTAGGACGAAATTCACATTAATTTGCTTCTCAAATGTTACTATTTTATAGGATGCATCTAATGAGGTGAACCGGTGCTTACTTTCTACACTCTGTCAAAAATTCTTATTCTAACCGCACTCATTGTCTAACCTGGAAATACAATTCACAGATAAACTTATCAGAATAACTTTTGCTCGGGTGTGAATGGATTCAGACATCAGGAGGTAAGCACGCGACACGCAGTGTATCCACATATAATGACCAATCCTTAAATCCACCATGTTTATGCAGATAGTGTCGGACTATTCTCACCAAGGAGGGTTTACTTACATCTCCACAAAGATCGGTTGATTCATGAACTGAGGTAGCGCTTGCAAAAACTACTGCTGCCTTTCTTACCTATATCATCAGAAGAAACCAACTCCATCTTTCTCCCATGATTACTTCTGACACGTCGTATTTCTAGTGATTCTCATTTTGAAAATCTGTTTGCCTTCTCGAGGTGCACTACATAAACTACGTATCACCGCAGCGACGAATGGGACGGATGATAACTAAGAAATTCATGTTACTAAATTGAACAAGTTTCTGTCGCTTTCACTATCTAATAATCCATAGAATACCAAGAGGAAACTAGATTGGACAGCAGCTTAGCTAAAAGAAAATTCGTTGTAACCTGGACAATCCGATTTACTCGACAGATACATCATTAATCGACGTATCTACATCTAAAATCTACCTTGAATAATCGATGTTACTGTAGAAACCAAAGAAAACTAGCATGAACACCTCGGAGAACGGATAACCATAAATCTGTTGTCATGGTTTTATTCAGGTAGACAGTTAAAAGAACTACAACCATCCTATGAATAACTTTCCCCAGTGTTTGATTCCAAAGAAATATTCTGGGAATTCGGTCTACTACACTAGGAAACCATCTAATATACCATGGTAAACATTAATAAAGGTGCAGAAAAGTGTTACTTGCACATAATTGAGATAAACAATCTGAAGCGGCTGATGATACCACCACCTGGTTACTCAAACATAAAGTATCTAAAAATGTGGTGTACAAAAATGATGGAAAACGACAGAGCAATATGAATATTGTCTTGAAAAGATAAATAACGTTTCAGATTGAAACACTGTAAGTTGTAGTATTTGGAGGAAAATAAGGTATCTGAACTGTACCTCCAATGAAAGGTCAAGCTTACATTTAAAGTGTACAACAGATTGTTCAAAAAATATAGTTTGTCCAAGCAAAGTTTCTGACGTACATACATGCAAATATATAAATATAATCATGATGAATACATACCAAGCATATGCCTTATTTCGTTCAAAGAATTCCTCCAATTGTTGGCGAGCATAACTGGCTTTGTATGCTGCATATTTCTCACCAGCTTCAGTATTAGTCAGACTACTATGATCAAAAGGTTCGAGAAATTTTTTCATGGACATTGGTCGTTGAGAGAAGTCACCTTTATGCAGAGAATGACCATAATTTGGCATTGGATTTTTTTCAGGACCTTGTATCTCTGAAGCATCTGGTTCCTTCTCAATTACCATGTTATAAGGAATTCGACTATTGTGGAAAGAAAAAAAAGAAACAAGACTTACTACTGTAAATGAAACATAAAAACTATCCGTGGATAAAAATTATGCGGTTTGTTGCGCAAAATGAACAAACCGACTGACTAACTTTGAATCATTTACAAAGTGCAATGATTAAAGCTGTAAGACTTTTATTCAACAGCTACAAGCTCATTCATACACCTGGAACTGAGCCACATATATTAAGAAGGCTTATCATGCTACCTGGCTACCCAACGTCGTCAAGAATAGAAATTTTTGCATTTTCAACCTGGTGGTAGAAAGTCAAATGCTTTCAACAAATCAGCTTTACACCTATGCCATTGAACAAAGGTAATGTATGGTAATCATAGAAATTGAACACGATGGTATCCATAGAAATGAGGCAACACTAGGCAACTCTTTAGACTCATCAGGGAAACGGGTGGGAGAAGGCAAATTATAAGTGAGACTATTTCTGAGAAAAATGGCTCCTTAATTAGCTCTCAGGATAGACGCCTTGAACGCTGGAAAGAACACTTCGAGGAACAATTTAACTTGCCTACAGCCACACTGAACCTCCCCGCCATCCAGCACACACCCGAATGGGATATAGACACTGGTCCGCCGTCTGTAAGTGAGGTCACAAAAGCAATCTGTAATTTGAAACGAGGCAAAGCGGCAGGACCCGACGGAATTATTCCGGTGTTTCAATATGGGGATGACATACTAGTATGTAGTTTGACTAAGGTACTAGGTAACGTCTGGGAATCAGAGACGGTTCCATCAGACTGGGGTAAGTCACTTATTATACCAATATTCAAGAAGGGAGACAAGTCCTCATGTGATAATCATAGGGGGATCAGCCTAACGAACATAGTTTCTAAAATCCTAGGCTCAGTAATCATGCACAGACTAAGCCGAACTCGGGGGGAACAAACGAGGGAAAATCAAGCAGGCTTTAGGCCAGGTAGAGGGTGCATAGATCATATCTTCACTCTCCGACAGATCCTAGAACATAGACACACTTTTAGGCGTCCAACAATTGCCATATTTCTTGACTTGAAGGCGGCCTTCGACTCCGTGGATCGAAAGCTACTATGGCAATGTTTGACTGTGAAGGGAGTGCCAAGAAAGTACATTACACTAATCAAGGCACTCTACTCAAACTCACGTAGCCGTGTAAGGGCTTATGGGGAATTGTCATCTGAATTGATAACAACCAGTGGTGTCCGTCGAGGATGTCCACTTTCCTCTTTTCTGTTTAACTTCATCATAGATATACTAATGGAAGTATCCTTAACTGAACTTAACGACTCAGGAATCGACTTATTACCAGGGAATAGTCTTATGGACTTAGAATATGCAGATGACATAGTTCTGTTAGGGGAGGATGCTGACAAAATGCAGAGTCTTCTGAACACCTTGAGCAGCAATCTTCGTATGTTTGGTATGCGATTCGCCCCTGTAAAATGTAAGATGCTGCTACAGGACTGGACTACATCTACCCCTAGCTTCGTGATAGGGAGTGAAGTGATAGAACATGTTGACCACTTCACCTGTTTGGGAAGTTGTATCAGCACCAGCGTACTGATTGGCAACGAAATCTCAGTACGGATCCAAAAAGCTCGAGCAGCTTTCGCTAACTTACGCCATCTCTGGCGTAGGCATGACATCCGGCTATCAACCAAGGGACGTGTGTACTGCTCAGCAGTTCGCTCCGTCCTTCTCTATGGCTCTGAAACATGGCCAATACGAGTTGAAGACATGAAAAGGTTGACTGTTTTTGATCATAGATGTCTACGACCTCTTTCTCAAGTTAGATGGCATAATAAGGTAAGAAATGTTGACGTTAGGCGTAGAGTGTTGGGTAAAGAGGGAAAATCAATCGAAGAGGCTATAAAGTTACATAGATTGAGATGGCTAAGTCACGTGCTGCGCAGGCCTAACCATCGCCTCCCACGACGGGCATTACTAACTGATATAGGTGCAGGTTGGAAAAGAGTAAGTGGTGGCCAAACAAAAACATGGCATCAATCCATGAAATCCTTGACAGTTAAACTGAGTCAGGTAGGGAGATGCAGACTTCCGGGTTGGGGCCCGCCATCGGGACTCTAAGAATCAATGGCTGGAGACAATAAGTGACATGGCTCAAAATCGTTGTCTTTCATATTCCTTTCTACCATCACTCATTCTGTTTGACTCTTATACTTGTCAAAACTCTATTGATTCTCTTCACTCATCTTCTTATCTACCTTTGTGTGCTATTTGGAAGGTGGCAACTCGAAGTGCTGCACTTCGGTGCCAAGTTCTATGTTGAATCCAAACAGGCAGACAGATAGAAATGAGGCAATGTGCTAAATTTACAGATCTGACTTCGCTACAAATCTCACTTAACTTTAATAGCAAGGTGAGAGTTTTACGAGAGGGACAAAGGAATACTCCAAATGTATAGCAAACGTTAACTTCTTAAAATGCTCAGACACAGTGTGCCCACAAAATTAAATATTACGCCAAGTAAGAAATGCTAACATTTCGACAGTGACATTCAGTTGAAGCTATCACCCGGTTGACATTCATAAAACAGAGTCAAGGTTAGAGTAATGTGTGAAAATTATTAAATACGACCAATTCTCAGGCATATAACTCGATAATACCTTTACATAAATTCTGAAAAGCGCCCGTCATTGATAATAAACTCGTCTGACCCGTTATATGTTCATTAATACCTACAAAAACCTGATTGAACACTTCAAGATACTGATTTAGTCATTTGGTTGGGTCGCTATTCTTTATCTTCAACTATGAAACTGACAGTCTCATACTCCGAATGTGGCTCTCTTTCAAATATATATATATATATATCGAATAAAAATAAAGCTATCACATGGATTCTTTTATCAGTAATATTCGCTATGGAGAATATGATCATATCCTCTATACTTCAGGGGCCATCTGAGCTATCATTGGAGTCACGTAAATACTTTGACGGGACTTTATTTGGGAGATAAATCTCGACTGAGTTGAAGGAGTACTAGACATTATGCAACAATGAAGCCAATGAATTTCCACAATTGACACTGTTATAGGAAATCAATATGAAATACTACATAAAAATAATTTCCTTTCTTAGCAGTGTTATAGTGATAAGTGGTGATACCTGTGTTATATATAACTGCCCCAAATTAGAAGATAAGTGAATAGCAAGGAAAATATACCTCCACATTTGCTCCTGAAAATGTAAAAGATTATGCATTCTTTCAACGTACTCATCTAAATATACCGTACTAACTACACGATCTGAATCGAAGGGAATTTTCCCTAATAGAAGGCTAATTCCCAGCCTCGTAACTACATGTCTGGATTTCCATACAAAATATACATAATAGGGAAGCGATTTAAGAAAGAAACTACCACCATGCCGTCAAAAAAGTACAAAAAGTGGGAACCCAATCATCATCAACTAAAACACCAATCAAGGATAATTCCGAAATCTTCCCGGTGACATGTAATTTCAAGACTCAGTCTTTCATATACTCCTATGGGTATATCAGTAAACCTCGGCATTATGGTGGCATGTAATCCCATATTCATTTTTTTATCAGATATATCACACAGTTAAGCAGTATTACTGTTTACTGGATGACGTTTCGAACACAATTTATTGTTCATAATCATATCAGTTATAACCACGCAACTTCAAAAATTTCATTTTATAGTTTTCTTTATTCTTCCCTATTTATCATCGTAGGGGTAGTAGAATTTTCCAGATGTCTGGATGGACAGGTGTTGGACTATTCCTATTACACGTATTTTCAGTTGATCAGATAAATAAAGCTTCCGTCATCAATCTCTCCCTCCACCCTGTTACATAAGATTTCAAAACTCACTTTATCCCATCCTGTTGTATGATTGTGTGTAATATCATGTAGTGCTATGGCTGAACTACTCTTCAGATTTCTTATCTTATCAGAGTCAACTAATCTAGAGTTTGCTGCCTGGTTTTTATGCTCTGCTAGTCTGATTGCTTCTTTCTAATTGAGTTTGTGGGTTTGAATGCTAACCACTTTTATCCCTGAATTGTCAATTAGGAAGAAGCTTTGTCGGCTAAAAGATCAATGCTGTGGAGCCAATTAAACAAAACAATTTAGTTTACCTAATACCCTGATATGACTAACAGGTCAACCATTATGCCTAGAGTAGTGGAACTGATGCAATCAGATTAGCAGAGCATAAAAACCAGGCAGCAAACTCTAGATTAGTTGACCCTGATAAGATAAGAAATCTGAAGAGTAGTTCAGCCATAGCACTACATGATATTACACACAATCATACAACAGGATGGGATAAAGTGAGTTTTGAAATCTTATGTAACAGGGTGGAGGGAGAGATTGATGACGGAAGCTTTATTTATCTGATCAACTGAAAATACGTGTAATAGGAATAGTCCAACACCTGTCCATCCAGACATCTGGAAAATTCTACTACCCCTACGATGATAAATAGGGAAGAATAAAGAAAACTATAAAATGAAATTTTTGAAGTTGCGTGGTTATAACTGATATGATTATGAACAATAAATTGTGTTCGAAACGTCATCCAGTAAACAGTAATACTGCTTAACTGTGTGATATATCTGATAAAAAAATGAATATGGGATTACATGCCACCATAATGCCGAGGTTTACTGATATACCCATAGGAGTATATGAAAGACTGAGTTTTGAAATTACATGTCACCGGGAAGACTGCTCTTTGAGTTCAGGAATAAGCCTATTTAATGATAAAAGTTCTACTTTTTGAAGTTCAACTTGACGATTTGTTAGGCTCGAGTGTGACTTACCGGCAACCTGGGAAAGCAACCTTGAGGAAATAAATTTCCCTCTCTTTCACTAAAACAAAGATTATGTGAATCTAATATATCGTTATTACCACATAGATTGCACATCTGGAAGGCTTATAAAGAGTTGAGCAACCATATTGTGAATGCTTTCATAGTAGACGTTTTCATTGTTTGCTACCCTCTCAAATAGCAATCAAAATGGTAGTCAAAGTGAAAACCAGATTTAAAACCCAATAAATTGATTGCAAATCATGAAGATAAAGTGTTTCAACTATACTAAACGAAGCCAACAATGTAGGATATCATATGGGAGCGTCGTGCTAACATATAGGTTAATAAAAAAACAAAGTGAGTAGTTTGTATTGATCGACTTCTTCACTCTGTGTGTTAGGATAAAAACGGTTTTGTTGTATTTCATGAAATTCATCCATATAGGTAGAAAGTTTTTAGTTATCCACTTCGGTGGCACTGTGGTTAGGACTCTCGCCGACCATGCACATGGTCCGGGGTTCGATCCCCTGCCGGCGCACACCCGATATCTATGGTCGGCCTGAAATTTGGGCTACCAATATCCATGCTGAAAATTCCATACTTGTACTGAAAATACGGTGTGGAATCAAGCTGTAATCAAAATATAAAAAAATAAATAAATGAAAGAAACACTGAACACCGGCTGGACTTATCCGGCATGTTGGTTGAAATTTCGCTCGGCAAATTTTTTTGTCAATAATTTTTAATAAAATTTTGTTATATGTTTTCTGGATTGATAGGAATTCTCATTTCCTGGCTAGTTACGTTGGTTTCCGCGTCATTTAATCTGACTGCGACACACTTAGCATATTGGTTGTAATGATTAGTGTTCCATGCTGAATGCGTCTACAATGAAGAAGATGGGGTAGTTGGGGGGTAATGTCATCTACACAAACAGTTTGTTTCTTGTAGAAGCTGCAGCTTTCGACATAGTGTCATTCAATGAAGACTACGTCAAAATGTGGCTATTTTCGTGTGAAGAACAGTACTATTTTACAAAAGAATGCTATCAGTGCATGGGAATCACCTATAAATGCCAACAGAACGTAAAACCAATGTGTAAACGAACGGCTACGGAACTGCAATCCAACCTAACCGACTAACACTTCGACGAAAATGACCTTTGAGCGTCTCACTCCATCAATGACCTTGAGCATGCGGGATAATTTCAGCCCTGAACACCCAGACAACTGAAACAAAAAAGACTGCAGGTGAAAGTCACTTCAAATCACCGTATAGAATAATGATTCGTCTTTATTTGTTTATATGTGAGGAACATCAATTTACTGGAATAATCAATATGTCAAATCACATATACGGAGTATGCATCCTTACAGGTGGTTAAAGTCACGACGACATTTATATGACGAATCTTATGAAGTAATGTCGGTGAAGTTACTTTAGAGATGTAGAAACACTTACACGGTATCAGCACTACTTAATTTTGGTCAAGGGGGCAACAACTGCTGGTTATGTTAGAAATAGTCGGAATGACAGGTCATTTAACGAATTGCACTTGTCAAATGTTAGTTTACCTTGTCACTCTCTGGATAGATCAACGGAAACGAAGCCAGTGAAGGCTAGTAAGGTAAACCCAGTTTCCGAATAGGGGGAACAGAGAAAACGCTGAAGTCATCTCTCTTCAAAGGAATCTTTGATTAACCATCATTTATAACCCACAGAAATACTAAAAGCGGATACAAGACTAACAGTATACATCGACTTTCATGTAAAGACAAAAGTCGTATAGGTATCAAAGCAACTGAAGCTTGGGAAGCAGCAAAGCCAGGTATCATTCCCTCGGAATAACTGGAAATAGATCCAGAGAACAAAAAGGACATCATCGCACCGCCAAAGCAGATATAAAAGGAAGTAGTGATACCTACGCAAGAAGTGGCACAACGTTACGATCTTGTATACCCCAAGCAAAGATTAAGCCTCCCTATCCAGGGAAGACTGAAAGAGGCTCAGGACACACGGGATTCAAGAAAAACATCTGATGCTCAGATCACGTTACGGTGTCATCAAACAAAGTACTTAATGGCGGTCTACCCTTAATCCCAAAACCTTCGATATTGAAGAATCATTGACCATGACCAATCCAACAAGCGCTTGAATGCCGTCGGATTAAGGATGACAAATATTTACAAAGCTATGTAAAAAGTTATGTGATGATGCCGGATACCCAAATATTTTCCAAGAAAAAGCTTCGAGAAGGCTTTGAAGTTAATGCACACTGCAGTTATACCTGCCATTAGATATTCCTGAGGCGGATGGTGGGCAGCGAGGAGGTGGGTAAATATTAGAATCACAAAAGATCCTATAATATCTGGACTTAGCGTTTGAATTGTGTTTCATATAACACAAACTGGAAGAACTAGAAGAAGAACCGAAAGCAGGATTACAGGTGAATATATAGAAGGCGGAGGCAATGGCGATAGGGGAGTCAGCAAAAGCACTAATCACTATCAATGGGAGAGATCTAAATAAATAAATAAATAAATAAATTTATTCTCATAGTACAGTACATGAGGGACGCCAGTTTACAGGCATCATCAAATTGTTACAGAAATAGAGCCATATAATTCAATCAAAATTTACACGCTGCAACAAGATATGCTTTATATGTCCGCTGGAGATATTACATACACTTGATAAATGTTAATCCCAGTAGTATAAAACAGCCTTTCACTTATATACAATCATTTCTGTGCAAAGTTGGAAAAATCTGCTAAATTGTCAGTGAGTGCAACACAACAGGAAATACAGGAGTATTGTCTTCGCATTAACAAAAAAACCAGGTCTTTGGTGGATGGATTATAAGTGCCTGGGAAAAAAATAAAGCTTGAAGTAAATATTCGTACATAACTTTGTTGTGTGCAGAGTCCTCGAATTATAGTTCATTGATGTGTTATTTTGAAATCAGTGATATGTTTATCTCATTTGATCTGAAATGTCATTGTTGGGAGTAAATATATAAGCTTCGGACGCATTAATTAATGGATTTCTACTGCTTGTGGGTATTTTCTTAGCGTGAGGAAGGTTTATGAATTTCAGCTATTCCGACAGGAGTTGAGAATATTGACTGCTCAGCAACATTATGGATATAAGTTCATCACATTATCTAAGGAAAGGTGGGTTGCAGTTGGTGACGGATATATGGTGCCCAACGAGCGTTCATCTGTCCTTGTGATGTTGTGGTGAGTTATACCTTTTTCATGTTGTCGGTTTATGTCCATTTTATTCCACTTATTGTGTTGGGTAGTAGTTTTACAAACGAGATTTCTTGTCTGTTTGAGGATACGTATGTTAACCGTTAATGTTTTATCTAGAATTATAAATATAGGCAAAAAACAACAGGTGTAGTATTTAAGCTTATACATTAAATGGACCTATAATTTCGGAGGCTCTCAGATAGGAACTAGAACTACTATCGTTTGCAAACTCTTGTAGTTTGTCATTAAGCACCTTGTTGAAGGAGGCCAATGTACTTGCTTGACGCATTTCCATTGATAGTTTATTCCATATCTGTGCATACCTAATCAAGTAAAACTTTTGCCTGGTGGCTGTTTTACATTGTTCGATAGCTACTATACCCTTATTGTGTCTTAGTTTGTAGCCATTGTCATCTGAAAGTCGAGTTCCATTAGTAGAGGCAAAAACTAAGTGGTTTAGAAGCTTATAGTAAAGTGTTAAGTTTAGTCTCAGGCGTCTTAGCCATAGTGTTTCTAGTCCTAGGGTATCACATCTAGTGGAGTAGTTCGTACCATTTTCAGTTCCGAGTGATTTTAACGTGAAGTACCCCTGCACTCCCTCGACTTTCAATTTGTCCTCTATGCGTATGCTACTATACATGAATGAACAGTAATCAAATAAAGGACGCACACAAACCTTGTACAACAGAATTCTAGACTCATTTCTGTAGAAGTTCCTGAGTAGAAAGCCGATAAGTCTGCGTGACTTTGACACTTTTTTGGAGATATGTTCAGAAAACGATAAGTTATGTGAATATTTCAGCCCCAGGTCCACTACAGATTCCAGTCGTTGAAGTGCATGGCCTTGAATTGTCAGGTCAAGTTCTAAATTGTTGCGACCTATGCAGAGCCAGCCACATTTTTCGACATTAAATTGGAGTTGCCAGGTGTCACACCATCTATCCATTTTTTCTAATTCTTGCTGTATGGCGTTTACTGTTATTCTAAGATCTGTGTTCTTGCATTTATGTGTCACTTTTAAGTCATCTGCATATAGTATTGGTTTACCTACACTAAAGCATTCACAGATACTGTTTATATATATTATGAATAAGAGTGGGCCTAATACACTTCCCTGGATTACACCACTACTTACTGGTTTAGGCCTTGAGATTATCGAGCCAACTTTCGTTGTCTGACTTCGGCCACAGAGAAATGATTTTATCCAGCCCAGGAGAGGGTCACATATTTCTAGTGAGCATAACCTGCTGACTAGCAGATTATGGGGAACTCTGTCGAAGGCTTTTGTTATATCGAAATATAGTAAAATTACTAGTTCTCTGTTGTCCCTACTTCGTGTAACTTCGTTGAAAAAGTCTATGTGACAGGTCACACATGATCTCTTTTTGAGAAATCCGTGTTGTGATGGATTGATAAGTTCATGTTCTAGTAAGTTGTCTGACACTTGGTCTTGAACCACTTTCTCCATTATTCGGGATATTACCGGTGTTATATTGATAGGTTGATAGTTGCATACACTGGTTTTGGCCCCTGCTTTGTGCTTAGGTAATATGTATGTGGTTTTCCACACTTCAGGATAAGTTCCAGTTTCCAACGAGAGAGTAAATATTCTAAGTAACAAGACTACCATTTCCGTGCTACCATTTTTGTACATGACAGATGGTATGTCATCTGTTCCAGTACTACCATTAGACTTCAAAGTCTTAATCGCTGAGTCTATATTTTGTATATTAAAGTCTATTCCGCTTAATTTGTGGTTGCTTTTGCAGGTCATTTGGAAATTTGGAGTCGGGTGCACTATGGCGTCATTGCAAAACCACTCATTGAGGAGTTCACTTATAACCTGGGGATCATTGTATA